CCACCCCCTGTGTTGTCCCCCCCCCCCCGCCAGGAAGGGCTGCCCAGGGACGGGTTGGGGCCACCTGGGGACCACTTTCTCTTTTTGGTGGCTTCGTTACAGCAGGGCCACTGTTCTCTGCCGCCACCCCCTCCAGCAAGCCCTGGGTCCCTTTTGCACCAAACCTGCGGAACTGGGGGGGTCTTTCTGGTCTGGGGTGCCGCCTTGCGGGCTCGTCGACCAAAGCAGAGAGAAGCGCCAGCTCCCCGGAGTCTGCTCAGCCGTCGGTGAGCCCCGAGGGGAGAGCCCTCCTCCTTCTGCTCGGCCTGCTAGCCCCTTTGTGGGAAGGCAAAGGGGAGTGGGACACCTGCGCCCCCCCACGTGTCATCCCCAGTGGTAGAGAGACCCCAGAGGGGAGGGGAAGGGTGGAGAAGGGCAGCACTTGGGCGGTGTGTGCCATCTTCCTTTAAGGTGGGGGTGGGGGGTTGCACTTGGCTCTTTGTTGGTTTCGCAAGGTAACAGAGCCCATGCCCTTCCTCCCCTCTCCTGAATCGTCCCTGCCTCTGATTCCTTCCCTGGCAGTGGTCGGCGGAGTGCTGCAGAAGCCTCACCAGCTCGAAGGGGTCAGCCTGCTCTCCTCTCCTCACTATGACTTCCTGGAGCCCCTGGAGGAGGAGGAGGAGGAGGAGGAGAAGGAGGCAACCATAGCAGCTACGGCTGCAGTGGAGGAAGGAGCCCTGCCAGCCGACGATCCCACTGAGAGGAGGAGGAGGAGGAGGAGAAGGAGGCAACCATAGCAGCTACGGCTGCAGTGGAGGAAGGAGCCCTGCCAGCCGACGGAGGGATCCCACTGACCGGCCTCCCGCTGCCAGAGGCAGCCCTGCGACAGCTCCTTCAGTCCAGCCGGGCCTTGCAGGAGCTGGCAGCCCCTGTCCCCGAGGAGTGCTCTCTCCATCTGGAGGGCGCCAGGCTGTGTGTCACGGGAGGGGATCCGGCCCGCCGGCGACAGCTGCAGGAGCACGTCCGAGCCACCTTGGAGGCAGCGGTTCAGGAGCGCCTCCCCTTCTCGGCCTGGGTCCTCGGCTTCCTGCAGCAGGAGGATGTCCGTGGGCGCCTGGCCGAGCTGCTGGCAGAGAGGCAGGTGGTGGCCGGCTGCCTCCCGAGGGCTGAGGAGGTGCTGGTGGTGGCCCTGGCGCCCTCCTCCGCCCGCCTGGCCGCCTCCCTCTTGGGCTCCTTGCTGGGCTCCTTCACCCTGGCCTTGTCGGAGCGGCCGTGCGGGCCGTGAGGGTGCTCCGGGGTGGCACGGGGGCCGTCGTTTCCTTCCAGAACCGGGCAGGTAAGTGGTGCGGAGGGGTGCCTGTGCGCCGTGGACAGTCCCTGGTCTCTTCTGTTGCAGGCAGCTATTTCCCTGGAGGAGAGGAAGCCCACCCACCCCTTTTGCCCGAGTGCTGCCTCTTTCCTTCGGATGCACTGCCCCGCCTTCCCATCCTGCACCCAATGCAGCAGACTTGCTAAGGCAGACTTGGGGCTTCCCGGCGTGGCAAGGGCTTGGGGGGCAGAAGCCCCCCCACTGAGGTTCTGGTGGACCCCAAACAGCCCGTTAGCGCAGTGGGCTGCAGGTGTGTTGTTCTGCTTAGATGCAGCACCGCGTGGTCAAAGGGATGCGTGGAGCCAGCTGTGACTAGGCGGTAGGATCGCTCGTCCCCAGAAGGTGGATGGCGGGCGGAGCATAGCCAGATTGGCGGATCTGGAACCGCCGTCCTCTGGTAACGAGAGAAGATCTGCTTCTCTGGCTGGTCCAGAGAAAGAGGGAAGCCGACGACCACAGAGATGGGTTTGCGGGATACGTGGTGGGTGAGACCTGAGGAGACCTGAGGAAGGTGTGACCGACACTGGCCGTTGTTGTCAACCGCAGAAGTTTTGAAAAGCCAGGGAGACCGCCTGGAAGGCAGGTTGGCTGCGTAGTAGACAGTGGATCAAGTGTCACCACAAAGCAAGGCGCAAGAGCGACCTCAGAGAGAGGTGCAGGATAGGGGCCCGGAGCTTGGAGACATATGATCAAGTGTCACCACAAAGCAAGGCGCAAGAGCGACCTCAGAGAGAGGTGCAGGATAGGGGCCCGGAGCTTGGGACTGGAAAGAAGAAAGCACCTGCGTAAGAGACACGCTTGAGAAGAGGCTTGAGGGGACGTTTCCTGGGGCCAGTGTAAAGGAAGTGGCTGAACTTGCATGGGGCGAGGGGTCTGGGCAGTCTTCGGTTATAAGGAGTGCCTGG